TGAGGATATGAAAGCTCTTGGAAAACATCAGTTTATATTTCCCCCATCCTGCCAGGTTGCTCTTAGCCCTGCATTACAGGAGGAAATAGATGAAGGGCACAGAGACGCAACTGTAGTCGGGTTCCCTCTGTAATCAGTTGATGTCATTCCTTTAGTGTAAGACGTAGCAACTGAGGTGCATGGCTTTTCTTACAGAGCCTCCACTGAAGAAAAAGCTGCTGCTGGATCTCTAAATAAGCAGCAGGAGCAATGTTATCAGGGAAACATTTTGTGTGTGTTGGCTCTATCTTTGAGCATCGCCTTATCTGAACTCCTGTTTCTCTAAGTGCTGTTTCCTAGCCTGACATAGTTGCTATCTGTGAAACTCAACCTCCTATTCTCAGTGCCGCATACTGCAAGGAGCTGGCAGGCAGCAGCCTCCTTCCTGAGCCAGGCTGCTTTGACACAGACTGATAGAGAGGAGCAGTAATTGGAGCCTATCATTGTGTACGGCTTTGAACTTTTTACTTTTATCAGATGTTGTCAAGTTAAACAAAACCTCCTAGGTAAATAAACTAAAAGCGCTGTGCCTTTTCATTACTGTGAGGAATGTACCAGTGCCTGCTGTGGCTGCTGTGAACTTGAGACACACGCACACCCCTGCTCTCGCTGCTTGGTCCGTCTCTTAGGTCATTGGTACCTACAGAAAACTAGAAATTTACGGTTGTTATGGATTGGGTCACGTAGCTGGAGCCTTGGAGGACTACAAAGAGTTGTCTCATCTGCTTCTGTGCCTACAGAAGGATTAAAACACATCCGTTTCACAGTCTGCCAGCAAAGCCTTGGTGTTGGTGACAGAGGAGCTCATTAAATCCATTCGTAAATGGACAGGGCTGCTTCTAACTAGAATACATAAAACTGTTTCAAGTGTTAATGAATGTTTAAAATCACTGGCAGTTGAAGGCCTAGATATTAAGGCTCGAACAAAACAAAGTGCTTAGTATAATTTTGAACAACCTGATCAAAATTTGAGCAGTGGGATGGGAGCATGTTGAACTGGTTGGCCCCTGGAGACCTCCACAATCTGATTTTATTGTTGAGCTCTGCTCTGGCTCCAAGGCTTGAAGAACTGCTGTCTCTTTGGAATTGTGTTGATTCCTTTGCAGGCTTCGGTGCTTTCCCAGAGTGCCAGCATTGTGCACAGGCTGAGCTGAGTGGGTTCCTGTATAGTGCCTGCAGCTTTTGTTCCTCGGAGGTATTTCTGTTTCTTAAGAGTTCCATTTGAAATAATTAATCCAAGAGCTAATGGTTCAGTTAAACATTGAATTAATTCTCTTCTTATATTAATCCACAAGAACTGAGGGACACTTGCTTGTGCATCTCCAGCCTAAGAGTGCTTTTTTCAGTGTGTCATAGACCTTGGAGCACTGACAGGAAGCATTTGCCTCACATGTTTACGTGCATTTCTGGAAGTAAATGTATGTGGCTTGTCCCTAAAATTTTCCAACTGATTTTCCTCTTGTGCTATCAGCTATTTTATCTGGGCATGTTGGTTTCCCTTAGGAAAATGCTGGTTCCTTCAAACAGTGTGGTAGGAAGCATTCCCTCCTCTTCTCTTGCGGCACTTCAGTTTCATTTTGTTCTATAGGAATTCAGTGACTTGTGTGAAATGTCTCACTGGTTTAGCAGCTCTGGAGATTGGAATGCTTCAGCTGCAGGAAGGTGTGTGTCTTCACCAGCATCAGCCCATCCGCGTGCCTCAGCTGGACCCTGACCCAGATATTGCCAGGCTGTTGGCATGGGGAAGGCTTCCAACAGGGCTGCAGTAAGGCAGTCTAACTCTCTTCTGTTGAATAGCTGCCCTGTGGTGATGGTCGTCACCCACTTCAGACTTGGAATATCAGGTGTATAGGATGGTGTGGAATATCACCTGTATGTAACTGGATTTTCTAGGTAGCTTGTTAGAGAAGCTGTAAGTACATAAATGAATTGCAGTGTGTGTAGGTCTGGGTGCACGTTCTGCTCCAGAGCTGTTCTGCAGGCATCTGCTGCTTTGGTGCCCTGGTGAGAAGTCTGCCACTGCCTATGGGTGGCTGGCTCAGCCCCCAACATCTGGGGGCAGGTAGCCTGCTTGAGAAACCTCTTCTGGGTTTCTGACTGCATGCTGTGTGCCAGAGTGGCCCATAGGTGTGCCCTAATGTAGATGCAGTGTGCTCTGCTGTTCTCTCACATAGCTGAGTATCTGTTGGAAGCGATGGAAGGGCTGTCTGTTTGCAGTCTGAGGGAGGAAAACAGATGTTCTGTTCTCGTGTGGGAGCTCAGTGGAGCAATGCTTCAGCTGTTGCTCCAGATCTCACCAGTGACAGCCAGAATGGCAAAGGGACAGATTCAGAGGTCAGTGGGAGTTGAAGAGAGGGAAAGTATTCAGGAAGCAGAAGAATGCTGATTTCCTATGTGTTTGTGGCTGCGGTGTCTGGATCTGGAGCATGTAGAAAGCATTGTCATCAGTTAACATTACTTTCTGAATGAGTGGGGATACTTTTTATTATTATTTTGATTGCTGTTTCCTAGACCAGATATTTCAAATTCTTGAAAGATATCTACTTGCCAGATGTTAAAATAGTAACGACTGTGCCTGAGCCGATGAAGAACTGTACTAAGAGCTGGAACAGACCTGCATGGGTTACAGACCGGTTGGAGCTCTGCTGGTTGAATGCTGAGCCAGGAGCCTTGCTTGCTCCCACCTTTTCCCCCGGCTCCACTGTCCAGTAGAATACTTAGTGCTCTTTCACTTAGCAGTTGGAATGCTATGATGCTAGCAGCACTCTCCAGCAGCCTTTAGCAACAAAAAGTGAAGAAAGGACTCTGGCAGAAGCCAAGGGGGAATTCCAGACAGGAATTTTGTGATAATCAAAGGTGGAATTTAGCAGAATTTAGGTCATTGTCCTTGTGTGATTATGGGCTTCCTTTGTGGTCAACTGATGGATGTTTCAGCTCATCTCTGGGAAGACCTCACACTTGCTGGCAGTGACCCTGCCTTGCAGCCTGGCAGAAAGATTTCAGGGTGCTAAAGAAGCAGCTTCACAGGAGTAAGGCTCCTGCTGAAATGATGCCTTCCTGTGTGGATGACATGCTCCCTCTTGCTTGCTGTGGCTCCTTTCTGTACCTTACATCCGTCTCTTGGGTTATTGTCTATGCAGTTTTTCATTTTGCAGCTAGCAAAGTACCTTGAGTGCTTCTTTTCTCAATTGGAGTTGGCTGCTGTGGGATGATCAGGCTGTTACAGGTTATGGCAGTGTCTGGAGACAGGTGTGTGTAGGTCCTGCTCAGGCATTCTGCTTGCAAGGCTGGGAATTGCTGGGGAAGCTTCAGTTCTTAGGGTCTTTCCAGAGCTTTGCAGAAGTAATGGCTGCTGAAAATGCTATTGCACACTTATAAGTGTTTTTCCCAAACAAGGCAAGAAAAACCGTTACTGGTGTGATCTAGCAATGGACATTAACACCTGGTGCATGGCCTCTGCCCTGTTCATTCTGGTCTATGGGTGCCTCACAGCAGCACCTGCTCAGCCCCCCAGCAGACCCCTGGCTGCTCCTGTGCTGGGCTGCCTTGTTCTTCCAGGTGCTAGCTAACCCCTCACAAGCACTTTGCTTTCACCTACAGTGTGCTCAGCATTTTCTGTTCTGTAGCGTTGCAGGTGGAGTTGGGGTCAGCACTTCTGTGCTAGGAGCTTTGAGCTGCTATAGCTGATGTGGTTCTGTGCGATGCTTCGTGCTGCCTTCAGCACCTGAGAGGTGCCTTGTCTGCAGAGCTGCAGCTCATGCTCTGTCTGATGTATGCGTGATCTCAGTGCTTGCAGGGCCAGCTGCATTTTCCTGGCTGAGGACCTGGCCATGTAATGCTCAGCTGGCAGCAGTTGTGCATGGTGCAGTGGCAGTGTTTGTGATCAAGACACCTAACTACTGAGTTGGGAGGAGCCAGAAGCAGCACCAGTCGGTAGCACAGGTTGTTTTTCTCGGTGATTTCCCACAGCGCTGACTTCGTGGGAAGCTCTGTGGTGTCGTTGAATTTTGCTGTGAGATCGTCACAGCCGGCTGCTGCGTGACCTCCTTACAGCCCCCACACTGACATCACCTGCAGCGGTGGGGGCGGGGCGAAGCTCAGGACAAAGGGCCGCAGCCCTTAAGTGAACGTGGTGGCCGCCGTGCACGCGCACAGCAGGTCGGTCCGCGCGCAGCCGTGTGAGAAACGCGCCGGGCTCACGCGCCGGTGCGAGGTTCCAAAAATTGCGCCGCGCGCGCACGCGGGCGCTACATGTGTTGCTCAGGCGTTAGCAGTGCCACTCTCACCACGCGTTCATCGAGCGGCCGCGCAACCCCAAGATAAGGACGGTTGATGATGATTGTCGCGCGCCCGCCCTAAGCGCGAGCCGACCGCGCCGCGGGTCAGGGTGAGGGGACGCGCGCTCCCGGCGCTGCTTGCACGCCCCATCGGCTCGGGGGCGCGGTCCGCGGGACGTATTCCCGCTGGGCCCCGCTATTCCCCCCTCGCGGCCTCGGTTGAAGGCGTTCTGTGGGCCGGAGGGGCGCTACCCAGTGTGCTCCGCGCCGTCCGCCGGGCGATTTGCATAGGGGGCCGGGCCGCGCGGCGGGAGTGTGGCGGAGAGCGCCCCCTGCCGGCAGCACCCGGCCTCGCCTGGGCGAAGTCGCACTGCCTGAACCGCCCTCCTCAGATCCTGGTTACCTCCTCAAAGCCGCGTTTAATTTCTGCAGGCGAATGGTGAGACGGATGTCAGTGCACGCCATTTCCTGATTACAAGTGTAATAACAATTAATTAAGGTGTTTGTTCCCACGTGCTACGGTCTCTACGCATACAGCGCACGCGCACCCTGTGTACAACAGTGTGGGTTCTGCACCACAGCTCAGTGCTCTCCGCGCTCCTGGAAGCCCTGTGAAGCGAGCCCACGGGGTCTGCTTCCTGCCCAGCCCTCAACCTCATGCTGACACCTGTCCTCTGTTTCCAGGTGGTGCTGCTGGGGATTGACATCATCTCCGCACTGGTGTCCCGCCTGCAGGACCGCTTCAAGGCTCAGATCGGCACAGGTAAGGGCTGGGAGTAATGCTGCCTTTCCCCTCCTGTGGCACAGCTCTGATGTCTCACCCTCCTCTGAAGGGCAGAGGGGCTGTGCGGCTGTGGTGGTTTCCTTCTGAGGGATTTGGATGTTGCTGTTCTCCTTTTGCAGTGCTGCCCAGCTTGCTGGATAGGCTGGGGGATTCCAAGGACTCTGTGCGGGAGCAGGATCAGACCTTGCTGCTGAAAATCATGGAACAGGCTGCTAATCCTCAGGTATGCTTCACAGCCCTTTGTGGTGTGTGAGAGAGGAGCTGCTTGAAGCGGAGCTGTTTGACTATTTCTGTTGTTGGTGTCCTGGTACTCTGTGTAGATGTTAACTTTTCCTTACTTTGTCTTCTATCAGAGTATTCTCCTATGGCAGTCTCTAATGCCCTCGTCTCCCTATGCCTCTGTTATGAATGATTCATGTTATGTGAGAATGCTATTGGATGGCTGGGTGGTCAGGGTCTGCATGGGAGTGTGTGAATGCTGCTTGGATTTATCAAGGAGCAGTCAGTGTAATTGTTCTGGGTGCTGGAAGGCACTTGCTTTGTATAGTGCTGTTATTTTAGTTTGTGGCAAGTTAGTATGAATTCAGCAAAGAACTAGTCATACTTAAAAATGTTTTACTGCTTGTTGTCTTATTCAGCTTGAATGGATGTAAAGTTTGTCATGCAAAAAAGTTACAGTGTATGAAAGAATGAATCTCTCTTCCCTGGCCTCCTGTTTTGTCTCACTTTGTTTTCTGTCTCCCACAGTACGTGTGGGATAGGATGTTAGGAGGATTCAAACACAAGAATTTCCGGACAAGAGAAGGGATCTGTCTCTGCCTTATTGCAACACTCAATGCGTAAGTCAGAACCTCCTGCAACTCTAAGTTACGCTTGCAGACTTGCTCTGTGGTTCACACCGATCCCCTTTTTGTTCTTTATTCCCAGATCTGGAGCTCAGAGTTTAACACTGAGTAAGATAGTGCCGCATATATGTAACTTACTTGGAGATCCGAACAGCCAGGTAAGCTTTTGCTGTGAGTTGCTTCTGAAAGTAGTGTTGAGTGCCATTGTTGGTAGGTGGGGCTCTGTATTCTAGCTGATAAATTAGCTGAAAAATGTGCTGCTGTTGGTGAATGATGTTTATGAAAAGCTCTTGGTTGATTTTGCGTGGGTCAGAGTTGTAATATGCCTACAGTAGAATCAGAAGTTCAATGGAACAGCATCAATCTGCAGATGATATGGAACAGAACAGGAAACCTGTCTAGGAAGAGAATTACTTTTGTACCTTACAGCTGAGTGCATGGGAAGCTGCAGGCATCCCTTCAGGCTCAGTGAAGCATCTGTGTACCTTCAGATAAGAACCAGTTTGGGCAGGGAGGGCAAATGGGACCAGACTGACAGCCTGGCCACATGCGCTGCCAGCACTTGTATGGGGAGATTGTGAACAAGGGGCAGAGAGAAGATAAGTTGTATAGGAAACTTACATCAGCAGTACATACTGTAAGAAGTATCTGGTTGCTTCTATGTGCTTTCTGTCCTGCTTTGGAAGATGCAATTGTCTGTATTTTGTCTGCTAGCTTTGTTACAATTTTAACATCCTAAATTGGGGTTGTCCCAGTTCTGTTACATAGGAGAGAGCTCTCTTGCCAAAGAGAGCTTGTAACCTAATCTGAAATTGGAAATGTGTGAGGCTAGTGAGAGAAGGGGATAAGGAAGCAGAGTTCAGATTAATGTGAGGTAGTGCAGGTACCTGCAGGTTCTGAGTATTTCAGATCTCCATCCAATTTGGGTTGTGGTGTTCATGATCCAAGTTTAGAGTGGGAATGTAGCTGGAGAGAAGCGTGAGGTGACAACTGGGGAATGGGTTTGTAGTGGCTCTGAAGCCTCCCCTTGCTAAAGGGGAGGGCCGAGTGAGAAGCAGCTTCTCCCGTTTTTGCCAACACAGGGAGGATAAGCTGGTTCCTCCGTGAAGGCTTCTAAGGAAGTGTGAGATTCAGGGTGCTCCCTGTTCCTGAGCTGTGGCTGAGCAAGCTGTTACTCAGTGGGGATGCTGAGTTGCTGCTGTGCAGAGGCATTGTGGTCCTGGCATCTGTGAGCTTGTTGCAGAAACCAGAAAGCCGGTGAGGGGACTGAAATGTGTTCCCTCACTGCTGCCTTTCGTGTGCCTGGCACAGCCCAATCTCAGCTTCCAGAACGGAGTGGGAAATGAGACTGATTTAATGACTCATCTCTTGGGGACCTGTTCGACCTCATCTGCGCAAAGTTCGTACCTGAACTGGTCGAACACCAGTCTGTCAGCAGCAGCGTACCGCCTTCTGAACTCTGGGACGTCTGGGCCATTTGCTGGGTCAGTGCTGCCCTCTCTTGGTGAAACATGATGGAGAAACAAAGGTCCCCGTCAAGTGTGGCATTTTCCCCTTTTGTTGTGGGTATCAGAAGCTGTTTTCTTATTGCCCTTTCAGCTTCACACAGCCTTGCAAGCCTTCCAGGATTTCCCTGCTAGGCAGCCTGTGGCCCGGTGTGTTTGGGGCTGTTGCCGCTATGGACAGAGCGGCAGCAGGGCTGCTTGTTGGGCAGTCACAGCCCTTGGCTGCTGTGGCTGGTGTGTGGCCAGTGGTGACTGATTCATGCAGGTATGTGCAGTGTAGTCACTGCTGAGGAGCAGTGTGTCTTCCCTCTGACCGGCTCCAGTGTGCCTCCCTTTCTGTGGAGACACAGTCTGCATGTGCTGGCCTCCCACTTCCTCCTGCCATGCTCAGTATTGAAAGCTGCCCTGTTGGCACCTGGAAGGCTGTGTCCTGTGCTGCAGTGCTGGACTGTGGGGCAGAAAGGCAAAACTAGCAAATGAGGGCTGAAAAACACGAAGGCGGCATTTCAGAACATTCTGGATGGAAATGATGTAGAAAGGGGGAGAGCAGGGTGAAAGAAGAGTGTTAGTCATTCTTCCCTAGGAAGTAGGGTGTGCATGTCTGTCCTTCATTGCCACATAAAGCTAATTTTAGTTTGGACCCACAGAAATACCTTGTATCTAGCCCTGATGCAGTCAGGCCCAGTGCTGTTGTGCTTCCATGCTTTCTTTGTTTCCGTTTGCAGCTCTGCTCCAGCACTGGTGGTTTCAGTGTAGTCAGCAACCAGCCTTAGCTTTGGGAACCTCCTTTGTTGAGTGAGGGTGTGTGGAGGGGAAGGTTAATGTTGGAAGCAAACAGAAGTGCATGGCTTGATGGTATTCCAGGAGACAGAGCAGATTGCTTACCTGTCTGCCTCCCAGAGGAAGGGAGTGTTGGTATGTAAATGTGTCACTGCACTGGGATTTCCAGCAGTCAGTTTTGCAAGTCAGCTTGGAAAATATGTAAAACTACATTTGTTCATACAGCCTTTGCTCCTGTGAGACACTTAGGGTTGCAGTTAAAGCCTGGGACACTCAAAAGTAAGCAATTAGCCATTAGTGATACTGCCGTTCTGTTGTGTTACAGTGAGTTTGATGACTGGCCAGAGAGTTGGGAGTTTTTAGTTCTTGTCTATGTAGTTGGGTTTTTTTTTTTTTTTTTTGCTTCTTTGCCTGTTGTCTGGACTTCAGTGGAAGTATGTGACTAAGGACCAGGAGTACAGCAAGACTACAAGGGCTGTTGTGCCTTCATTCTTGTGTTGCATGTATTTCTATGTATTGTTTTTCTTGTGCTGGGTAATGTCATCTGGGTCAGAGTGAGCTTTACTGCAGGGATACTTTGGGCAGTTTTGATTGGGAAATTGCTTTGTTTGTAGCAGGCCAGCTGAGTACTGAGCCTGAGTCAGTTGTCCACATGGTGTCTTGGGTGACTGATTACCCTTCTGATATACTTTTATCATCTGTGGAAGTTTGGTAAAGTTAGACCTACTGATCCTGCTGCTATCTGAAATGAAAGAATGGAAGCTCTTGTGGATGCTGTGGTTGTGCACATAGTGGCAACTGTTGTTGCTGAGAAATATGCAAATTTCTTTCTCCAAGGTAGGGCAGGGATTTGTTTCTTTAGACTGCACGGATGATTGACTTCTCACATCTCTCTTTCAGGTTCGAGATGCAGCAATAAACAGCCTTGTGGAAATTTACAGACATGTTGGTGAACGTGTAAGGGCTGATCTCAGTAAAAAAGGATTACCCCAATCTCGGTATGTTGAGAATGTCCCTATATTTTAACTGTTTAGGGGTTCTTTTTATTTCCTTTCCTTTCCTTTATGAAGCTTCACATGCTGCATAATTGAACCTCTTCCCAGGGTCAGAGTTTTTCTTCCATCTTACATGCACTTAGTCTCTGACATTCAGGACAGAACAGAATTAAAACCCAGGATGGCATAGATGACAGACTGTACACAGGGGGAGCATTGGGAGAGGTTGTTTCAGAGGCGGGGTGCACACAGATGGAAGGAATGCTGCTGTCTCTTGTTTTCCAGTGGAAACATCTGCTGTAGTGTGGCCTCGGAGTATGATCTCTAGGAAAGAATAATGAGATGCTGTAAAGATCTCATGCTCCGCTGGGCCTGTGATATGCTTAGGAAAGAAATGTCACGGCCAAACGAGTGTTGTGCAAAGTTTGCGTTTCTTCTTATTTTTTTTTCTGCAAATTGTTAAAAATAGGCAAAGTAATTGTGAACTGGAAAGGTATTTTTACAATGAGATCTGCCACATCTTCAGTGTTGTGTTTCCAGTCGTATTTCTTTCATCTCTGCAGTATCCCTCTTCTGTTTTTTATCAGTCATTGCATGTTGTGATTTTTTTAATTTTGCAGTAACTCCCCTCCCCCTTGATGTTTCTGACAGTTTTCTCAATGACCTGAGTTGAAACAAAATTTGTCCTGTAATGTCTTAAAGTAGGAGGTTCCTAAAGATTAAATTCAACTGTTGATTGTGGATTTCTTTCTTTAACTTACAAACAGATTGAATGTAATTTTCACGAAATTTGACGAGGTCCAAAAGTCTGGAAACATGATCCAGAGCTCAAGTGGTGAGTAGAAGTACCTGTATTCTGTTTGGTATCTTCAGTAGTTTTCAATCAGTGAGACATTCAAATGGATGCAAAGCCAATGTTCTGCTAAGAGAAACAAGTCTGAATGATAATTCACAAATGTCCGCATCGCTTTTGCAGAAACCAAAATTGATGTTTAGTTGGTCAGTTCTGCATTCCTAGCAGCACCAAGAAGAATTCTGAGATATGAGGTGTTGCTAACTGTCTTCCTTTTCCTTGACTGTCATTAGGGAAATGGAACTTCTGTTTTCAAGTCTCTGTGCGTGTTACTTTGAATTGTCAATAAAGTAAAAAATAACGGAAGCAGCCTTTTCAGTTTTAATGTTCTACAAAGCACAGGGTGTGCAGATGAACATCAAACACTACTGCGTTAATGTTGCTTGAGAATTGTATTTTGCAGTTTTTAAGTTCATTTATTTTGTATGTGTATGACTGGTAATAGGTCAAAGCTCTCAACAGAGGTTTATTCTGTTTTCTTGTCTGAGACTTGGGTTTTACTTGCTTTTTAAACAAGAGCTTGTTGCTGCTTTTCATGTGCTGCTTACTTTTAGGAATGTTTTTGAGTGAATTTCTGGTTCAAAGGAGGGAATTCATCATTCTGCCAAGAGCAGAGATGAAAAACCTGAGTTCGGTGCTGCAGGTGCCTCTCGGATTTGTGCCTTCTGCAAAGCTGAGAGTAGGAGAGATGATGTCTCCATTCTTTTCCACAGCTGTCTTAGAAGCCAAGAGAGTAGAGATCTGTGCTCTTTTGGGGGGGAAAATTTGTTTCCACTTCCAAGGTGCCCTTCTTCTTGCCATACTCATTTTTAAAGTACAGTAGACTTAATTTCTGCAGGAAATAATAAAATGGATTTATTTGATAATTAAGTAATATTTTGGGTTATTCCAAAATGCGTGATGTTACCTTCTGCATCTGGGAATGATGAAAACCTGTTGCAGGTTCCTTTGTGATGGAATGGGATAAAACACTTCTGTGATTTTGTGTAAAGTAGGAAAGTAGGTCTGTGTAGGTAGATGATGCTTGTGGTTTATGGTATGCTCATCTGTTTATGAGTACAGTTGAGAAGCAAATGCCCTTGTAAAAAGAGGATGCAAATATTTAATCGTTAACAAGCATCTTAATAGGTACAACATGTAGATGTTCTTCCGAGATCCTAGCTTAAACTGAAACAAGCATACACTTTATCCAAATTCTTTGCTTTCCACTTGGGTAGGCTAAGGTAGAATTTCTGCAAACTTCATTTACTCTGTGGAATAGACTGGATTTTCAGAACACAAAAAGTCACTTTGATGCATTGTAGATTGCTGTTCTGTGGAGCTGGAGGAGATAGACTGTGTCTTGTGGTGAGAGGTGTTGCTGTGGTATCATTTTAAACAAATGTGCTGGGATGATGACTGAGGGTGGGATTTTTGTTGGGTTTATTCTCTCAGAGGAGAGAAAAGATTTAGGAGTTGATTGTGGCATTAGCTAAATAAAGTTTACATGGGCTTTTCTAACCCAAATGAAGGTGTTCTTTGTTGAAAATAGTGTGTGTCACAACTGATAAGAGCAACGTTAGTACGAGATAGATGAGATGTGTGTAAAAACTGAACTTCAAGTGAGAGACTGAAGTTCATTGAGATTTGCAGTGCCATTATTAGCTGTGCAGTTATTAGTTATTATGCAGTTATAGTGCAGATATGCATGATCCTGAGTGGTATCAGAGCCATTGCTTGCTAACCATTGGCTTTAGAGGTGGTTCTGGTCTCCAACCTGCTGACCATCCCAGCACATGTGGTGTGATTTGTAGCTGCTGGCACTACTGAAGATGTCAAAAGAAGCAAGGTGGGTTGATAGGGATGATCCCTTATAGACAGCTGATTCTTAGAGTGCCATCTCTCCAGGAAATAAGTAGAGGAGTGTGGGGTGCTTATAGGGTAAGAGCATGACATAGTATGGAAGGATCTCCCTTTGGTCTAACAGGATTTTTTTTTTTTTTTTTGTCTGAGTGAAAAAACTTGTAGTTGCATGAGTTATTAAAGTAGTTCTTATTTGTGATATTAATAATGAGAGCATTAGTTTCTAATACGTATTTTTAATATGCATTTGAGGTAGAGTTCTGTTTTCCGTAGTCCTGTAGGCAAGGTCCTTGCTTCTTCCTTGTCTTCCAAGAGCAACACAAGCATGGCATGCTTGCTCTCATGTCTAACGTGTCAACAACTCTGTCCAACTTCCAGTTTATCTTGAGATTGTGTCAGCTGATGGGCAAGGCTTACCTTCATCAATGGTTTAGTAGGTTTGTTATGACTTAAAGGCAAGTTAAGTTTGTAGGGTTCTTACATCCCTCACGCCTCCTGCTTTTGAACAAAGGTGACATTTTCAGTATCTGTCAGTCATTAGGGAAAATGATAAATATTGCACAACCAAAAGCCTTTGTCAAGAAACAACTTTGTCTAGTTAATCCTTTGTATCTGGCAGAGTACAGTACTGATTATGGATGCCTATGTGATGCCATTGCTGCCATTCCTTTTAGTTTGTAACCCTACCAGGCCTTGCCCATAGCAGCTGTGTGAGCACACTACCAGTATGTGGTAGTTGATATTATAGTGCGGATTGGATGAGTTCGGGCATTATGGTAAGCTGGTTATGTCTGAAAAGCTCATGTAAGTGCCTCTCTGTAGCTAGATTGTGCAATTTCTAGCTCTACACAAGCTGCATGTCTCCCAGAGGTTTGGGAAGGCAGATGGGCAAATGTTTGTGCAGATTTCAGTTCTGTAAGCACCTGTAAGCACAATATGGCATTGCAGAAGAAGCATCTGCTTGCTGTGGATTTTCTGCCTTTGGCTCCCACAAGTTACTTAGGTGGGGCAGGGGCTGGTGCTGCTGGCAGGGATCAGGCCACGGAACAGACCTGTCTGAAAATTAACACATTTCTTCTCAGATTCCCCTCTTAGGGTAAGGGCTTTATGTGGACAGGGTTGAGGCATGCCTCTGAAATGGCAAAACCAGCTAAAGTTGTGTCTGGACTTCCCATATTACTAGCAAAGTGTCAGTCTAACTTTGTGATCTTGTGTATGAGTACACGAAATCTGTACTTCTTGGGTAGGGAAGATGGAATAAAGACAGTAGTGGTGACTGGTGGTTGCCAAACCTGACTTCTTGCAGAGCTGGGCAGGTTGGGATGGCAAGAATTGTTTCTGAAGTGATGAAACATGTCATAATAAGTTGTCAGAGGAGAATTACAATTAAAACCATCTTCTAGCTCTGAGATTTGTTTGTGATAAGCTTTCTGGGCTGCTCCCAGTGATGGGTGGGATGAGTGCTGGTGCTGCTGGTTTAAGATCTCTCTTAACTCATGCTTCCTGAGAGACAAATTCCCAGGTGAACAAAAATTAATTCACCTTTACTAGAAAAGGTCCTTAAAAGAACAGGTCACATCCTGACCCCATGTTTAAGTCTTGCGAATCATTTCTAATCAGAATGAGTTTTGTTACGCATGATTATTTTCAGACATTTATTTACCATATATACCATATATATACCATGAACCATTAGTGCTTCTTTGAGTTTATCTTGAATTTTTTTTTTTTTTGCCAGATCTTGTTTTCACTGTCTGATAATACAGGAATCAAATGAGCAGTGGGGTGGGGGAGGTTTGCACGGTATGCACAGGGTTTCATCAAGGCAGGAAAGCTTTGGTATGCTGAAGTATTGCTTGTTGCTAGGCTACCAGAGGACCTTTCTCTGTCTAGAATATGAAGTTAAAATCCATGTTGGTTTCTGGATGATTCTTAGTGCATCTCTGTTTTGTTATTTGGCATGTAATTAGCCTCTTGAAGCAAAAATTACAGTTTTTCTTCCTTCAAGCTTTCAGCAGGCTAATTATTTTTTGTGTAACTACTATTGCTAATTATGCAGATGCCTTATTCCCCTGGGACAAATACATTTTCAGCATGAAAGACTCAATAATTGCCTGCTAGTCTGCTGCCATCTTCATGTGGCACTGCATGATGATCTGTAATTGGCTGTGATGTGGAGAGGAGCTGCTGGATGTAAACAGTTCCATTTATTGCAGGAAATCCGTGCGGCACAGATTTCCTTGGCCTCATGTCTGGAAGGACCTGAGCATAAAGCTTGCCATTTTTCCGTGGGTTGAGTTATCCTGAGTCTGACCAGGACTCTGGAAGAAGTTCCAGGATGGATTGGGAATGTAGAAAGAGATCTGCTGACAGATGCAGACTGATAGCTTTGGTTTGGGTCACTTCCTATTAGCCACTAATATGTTGTAGTGCGTTTTTGTGCTCTTTCTCATTATGGCATCATAATACAGTGCCTTAACTTCTTCAATTTTATTTTTACCTAAGTGACATGATTTCTGCAAATCCTTTAGTGTGGTGGTGTGCCTCTGTGCTGGCTTAGTCAGTCTGGAGGAGATTAAATTTCCTTGTCTGCGTGGAACTTTGACTCTGCTCAAAAGGTGGTAGTGGTCTTTGGCTGCACGCAGGGAACTCAAAGCAGATCTAAACCCAGAAGTCTGGAGCAGAGATCTCTTCCCTGATACGTTTATGCAGAGTAAGGTGAGGGGAGGATGTGGTTTTAGTAATTGCCTGGTTTTTTGAGAGTTGAAGAGAAATCAGACTTAAACAGTGTTAAAATAGCGAAGGTGATTCCAACTGCCAGAAGTCTTGTGAAGATGAAATACGGAACAATTTCTGTATTTGAGGTACTGTTTAAGGTAAATAAGCTGTCTGCTGAGTTTGTTCCCTGGTTGGTGATGAAGCTGACAGCTTAGAGGCAATTAGCTGAAAATGAATAATTCTGGATTCCCATGTTGTGCTGATAGGAAAGCTAGTCACTGGATACTGTTTTCCTGTTTATTATAAGGAGAAAGCTAACCTACATATGAGGGATGTTGCCACGTGTCTGTGGGTGGGATATGATTTGTCAACATGCATCCCAGCACCAGAATTAGACTGGGAGGGGTGGCTACGATAACACA